CCGAAGCGCAGGCAACAATCCTGAAATAGGATGCCTGTTAGCCACCCGAGGAACATCAATATTATTACGCTACACTGCGAGACCTTCGGATTTCTTGATTGGGGACAACGACGCATAGTTCCGCGGCGTGTCTTGTTTGCTCTTCCCGTCGGAACGTTGCCCTGGGCCTGCCACCACGTCTCCGTCTTCCCAATCACATCTCGCCCCCATCCTCTCCCTCTCAGCTCGACTCTGCGCGACCGCCTCCTCGTTGCGCCTCCCGGGACGTTCCCGGCCTTCACACGCATACTGTAGTGCATCGACACGCTCTACATTGCTGGACGGCTACATACGATACACCTGGTGCAGCTCCAGCGAGCTTGATGAGCTCGAACATACGGTACGTGTCCCGCACCGTTCGACTGCCCAGACTGCGCTGACACGGGCATCTCCAGCATATCTGACGGAACCTCCGAGCGCGATGAGAGGCAGCCCTTCGCCTGAACTCTGGACCGTGCACCAGAACGCGCACCAGCACGCGTTCAGACGACACGGTAGGTAGCTCTTGATGTCCCTGTGCAGCACGAGGTCTGCATCCGCGTCCTGTAGACCCGGCGCGTCATACTTCCTCCCAAATCATGTGGCAGCGACACGACGCTGTACAGAAGGTCGACGGTCGTCGGGTACGTACCTGCTTGCAATGCGAGCGAGCGAGCACGTTGCTCACCGTCGGTGTTCATCCTTCAGCTACCCGCCCGTCCGACTGATCCGAGGCCGCCGCATTGCTGAGCGGAGAACCTCAGGGGCTCATCCTGCGAGTATGTACCTGTTCTTCCCCTCTACGCGTGTCAGCACGCAGCGCCGGCTGACCATACGACTGTTCCAGCGCATTTCTACCTCCCGGCGTCGTCACACCGCCGCGCGCGTTCACCTACTCGTCGAGCTCGCGGGACGATATCTCGGTGCCGGAGGCTCCGTCCTTCATCGCGGTTACTTATCCGGCGGCGGAGGTCTGCGCAGCGTGCGATGGGCTGTCCTTGGAGGTACGTACCTCTGCTCTTTCGCAACTCATGCACGGCCGACTGACTCGACTGTCATCCCAGACATCACTTCTGCGGAAGCTCACCGTTGGGCGTACCTACGACTGCCACTGGTCCGGGAGACGGTGGACGGCTATCGGTACGGTCCTCTTAGCCTCGGGCGCACCATCCAAGCTATGCTACACGGAGCTGCTCTGGGAGAGACAATCGGTACGTACCTTGATCGCATCCAGACGGGGAAGCACAGGCTGATGGTTTCTCTTGCAATCGGCATGCCTTCCAGTCTCGTGAACGTTCTCAGCGAGGCGCATGAGAAAACGGTGTGACGCAAGACGGCGCGACGCAAGACGCTCCGACGCCGTCTGGGACACGACAAGTCCGGCGCAGAACGCATCTGCTCCGGGCGTCCAGCTCATGACAATTGGTACGTACCTTCGTGCAAACCTCACACGCGTGCTGAAGACGTCTCAGGTCTCCCGGACGCCGTCTCTTGGCGCCCGGGCACGGAGTCGCGCTTGCTGCAGAAGTAGACCGCTGTCGGAAAGTACGTACCTTTTCCCCGAAGCCTGGCGGACTTGCTAACTAGTGAACAGACAAACCTTGCAGCAGCCTCAAGCCCCAGCCAGATCTGCTTGAACGCGTCTTCCGGCACGGTTCGAAGCGGACGGTGTCGAAGGTGAGCATATGCATCCCAGATCCAGGCTGCCAGTGCTGACACAGACCACGCAGAGCTGACAGAGAACGCGCAGACACGGCGCAGATCCGGGAGCAGGCGGCACAGGTCAGAGGCGGGCGGAGGCAGGCGGGAGCGGTGGTGGTGGTCAAGAGCAGACTTGCGCACTTCTCGGAACGCGCGAAGTCGCCGAATAGGCGCCCGTGCTCGTTTCGACGCGGGACTCCTTGAGAACGCGTCCTTGCCTCTGTAGCCATTCTGTATAGTAGCTCCATAGAATAATATATCTCTGTGTCCCTACGCACCCGCGTTTCCGCAGAAGGGCAGACGTCAAGTTCCAGCCGCTACTGCGCGCTGCGTCCTCTCCTCTGCTCAAGACTCCAGACAGACACCCTCGCCGACGCGTTCACGCTGTATGTCAGAGGCCACAAAATATATTTGCTTTCTACATACATGTCTCCTACGTACCAAGCCAGCCCTGCCCGAGGACGCAGCCCCAGTCCCTCCCTCCCACCGGCCCCACCATCCCTCCCCGCCCCACAGCCCACCGTGTCTATAGCCCCCCCACAGTCCACCGTGCCTCTACTCCCCCCAGAACACCCTAAGGCAAAGCTTGCATCTGGTGCATCTGCTTCGCACTCCGCTGATGGCCTAACCACCCCGCACCCGCGCCCGCACCCGCCCGCCCCGGACGCGAGCAGCAGCCCCGGCGTGCCTGCAGATCCCGGAGCTGTCAGACGAATACGCGAGCACGAAGACGCACCTCCGAAGCGGCTCCTGCCAGAGTCGCTGTTGCGGTAGACAAGACCCTTGACCGTGAAGATGCTCTTGCCCTCGACAAACAGCTCGAGCTCGCC